CAACTTTTAAACCCCTTTTTTGCAGTTTTTAATAGCTCGATTCCGGCCATTTTTCTGGTGTTTTAGAGGGGAAACTTGAATATGGACGTATGACCTATGTCGGTGGCATCCCAAATGATATTTTTGTCCCAAATCGGTGCCGTAAATGGCTATCGAAAACACTCAAACAACAATTTTAACCAAAACTTTTAACTAGCATAACTTTGCAACCATAACTTCATTTTTGACAAATAATATATCGTTGGAAAGCTTTTTCAACAAGGATTCCAACACCAAAATNCTCAAAACGATATCCTATATTATCCAAAGCGGATACTGAAATAATGTTTCTAGAAATCGTAGGTATAAAATAACAGTCTTTGAGTTCTAATAATAAGTCCCTACAGCTAATGTAGCCACATGTGCTCTATTTCCAACTCGTATGTCCACTTCTCCCTTGGCGAGCAATCTACTCTGCCTTAGTCCCTACACATCAGTACAAATGTGAGTACCATATCCTGTGTCAATGACCCAAGATGTTGAAGGAGAGAAGTTAATCTCAATCATAAACATACCTGAAGTCGAAGCATCTAACTTTTTCTTGTTTGCAAGGAAAGCCTTGCAGTGCTTCCTCCAGTAGCCAGACTTGCCACAATAGAAGCAGACTACCTTCCCACTTTTCCCAACACCACCCGTAGGCTTGAGAGCATCATATCCTTTAGGCTTGGGCTTGGGATTGCTTGAAATTGGTCTTGGCCTTTCCCTTGCCCTTACCTTTTCCTTTACTGGCAGGCTGGCAGCTACCAGTAAAATAGGCTTGGACTTCTTCAAGTCCTGCTCTGCAGTCCTTAGCATGTTCAAAGGCTCTAACAGGGTTTTCACCATAGCGTTCATATTGAAGTTCATTATGAACGGTGCGTAAGAGTCAAGCAAGGATTGCAAAATTAAATCCATTTGTAATTCTGCATCCAACTCAAATCCCAAAGTCTCAAGCCTTTCCATGTGCTCGATCATCATTAATCACCATCTGAAGGGATCTTAACCTGAGCAGTGATGTCCCTCATTTTCATAATTTGCTCACGAATTCCTTTAATACTGGTGAGCTTCATGGATGTCAATCTATCCATTAGGGTGCTACCTAATGCCTTGTTTGATGTTTCAAACTGAGCATGAATTGCATCCATCAAATCCTTAACATTTTCACACTCCGGTATCGACCCACGAATACTACTCATAATGTGAGATTTATAAACATCATGCTTAAACAGTTGGATCGCTCCCACCGTTCATACAAAGCAATCTCAGCCTGAAAACTAGTATCCGTAGGTGTATGTGGCTCTTCCTTACGAAGAGCATAGTTAAGATCAATGCACCCTAAATGAAGAAGGACAGCCTCCCTCCATGATTTGTGATTATCACCATTTAAATAAGGAATCCTCAACCATCATTAAAGTTTGATCAACTGTAGGTATATCAACAGACATGCTTACTAAATAAATTATGAGACACAAACCATAAACAACAATTATAAGTTTACCAATGTAAAACAAATAATAAATCATAAATGAATTGACATGTCATAAAATCTTCCTGTGAGTAAAGACATTACATATTATGATTCATTATCCTTTAATGATAAAACTATAAATTATTAATATTTCATAATACTTGTGGGCTAATTTTGAAATAAGAATAATTTTTATTTCATCCATAATTAATCATGAAAATATAATATTCCCTGTGGGTAAAATGATTATATTAATATGATTAACTACAAAACGATGTTATTAACTTTAATATGATCATAATTAATATTACTTAATGCATATATTATCATAACTTAGATGTTGTAGCTATTCTAAATTAATCAAATATATATTATCATAAAACATCATATAGTATTATTGCATATAATACAACATAACATAAATCAATACTAGAATAACATATTATTTATGTATAATAGACTAATACATGACATAAAAACCATCACACGCGCTATCATCGACTCCCACGCGCCACCGTGACAAGACCACCTGTAGCCACATGACTCCACGTGCTTCCATAAGACAACACATCATTGCACGCGCAGCTTCACGCGCTTACACGCACCATAAGTCAATACGGGTCAGTTTGACCCGTTTGACCAGGTTGGGTTGACCTTTTACCCGGTTTGACCTATTTGACATGGTTTGGCCCGTTGATCGGTTCGTTAACTTGCCTGAGTCGTTGACTGGTTCATTGACCTGGTTTGAGTCGTTGACCGGGTCAAGTTGACCCATCGGGTTTATGGGCAGGTTTGACTGGGTCAATTTGACCAGTTTTGACCTTTGACTTTGACTAGGTCAATTTAACTTATTTTATCCTTGACCGAGTTGATTTGACCAGTTGATTCGGTTTGACCAGGTCTTTTTTACTCGGTTTCTGCAACTTTTAAACCCATTTTTTGCAATTTTTAACAGCTCGATTTTGGTGTTTTAGAGGGGAAACTTGAATGTGGACGTATGACCTATGTCGGTGGCACCCTAAATGACATTTTCGTCCCAAATCGGTGCCGTAAATGGCTACCGAAAACACCCAAGTGACAATTTTAACCAAAACTTTAAACTAGCATAACTTTGCAGCCATAACTCCGTTTTTGACAAATAATATATCATTGGAAAGCTTTTTCAACAAGGATTCCAATGACACAAAAATCGAAAACAGATTCTATTTATAATAAAAGTTATGCTTGATTTACAGTATGGGTTTTAATTAGAAAAAATCCCAATTTTATGCAATATTCTCCAAATTTGCAACAAACAATTTCATACTAGACAGAGATTCAAATAAACGCTCTGATACCAAATGTAAAACATTTATATTCCAACATTCATATAAAAGTTCATAATATAATCAATTATAAACATGTTAAATACTCATAGAATATTGCGGAAGTAATTTACAAACTTCCAGTCATAACAATTGTTGTTTTAGTCTTCTTGCTTCTGTCACTTCAGAATACAAAGTCTTCCACTGACTGCAATTTTTCAGAGTGATGGTTTTTGGGCTGTAAACTCTCCTTTTATAAATGCAGTTATCTTTTCATCAAAGATAACTGTCTAAGAGAAACAACCGCATGTAACTGTGCAGCCCATTCGCTTTATATTAAAAGTGTAGGACCAATCCAATTAAAGAATTCTAATATAATTAAAATTCTAACATTTCTTCGACCCTAAACTATCAAACCAAAGAGCAACAACTAATAAATTCCACTTATTAAACAGGTTCTATGGTTGATCCATTTGATACCCAAGACATCCATGGTATCTCATAGTTCTTATGAGTGTAGACGATGTGGTCGGTCCATGAATTAAGTTCACATTCGCTTTGGAAAATATCAAAAATTGCACGCACTTTGAAAAATGAGAAAATACTATCTATCGATTTTATTTTTAAACAAATTTTTTATTATTATTTTTTTCTCCTAGAAATATAATCTAAATATAAAATATTATCCTAAATGTGGATAATTATTAGTAGGAAGTAATCTTTAGATTAACGTTTAATCCTTTGCACGGCAGCCAGTTGGCTTACATAGTGTCGTTTAAATATATCCAGTTGGCCTGCATGAATCAAGACTTATTGACCCAAAAAATCTTAATTATATCATTTTTTATAATAAGAGGATAATACGTCTAACAACCGGCAATTATAAATAATAATAATAATATATTTATTTATTAGTGAATCTTAGATCATGTAAATAACTACAATATCATAATTATGAAAAGAAAAAAAAAGAGTGATTTTCTAATTATGAATTATTTTTTTTATATTTATGTTAATTTTTAGATTCTACCCATATTTTAAAATTAATTCTCTTAAAAATTATTAGAGGTACACGTAATTTGATCCAGATACCTCAATTAATAAAAAAAAAAAAAACTTAAAATATTTTACTATGATCAAAGAATCCATCCATGAACCTTTTAACATTTTGAACATAAAAAGCCAATTAATTAAGAGATCTAGATCCAATCTTTATTGTTTATGGATACCATGTCTTTTTTGAGTAATAATATATAATAAAATTTAAGGGACACAAATAAAGACAATATCAAATCTTATATTCTTATCTAAAAATCTTTTTTTTTTTTTTTTACAAATAAAAAATAATTAAACATATTCATCGAAATAATCATAAACTAAATATATATATACACGAAAATTCTCAATTAGAGACATATTAAAATTTTAACGTAAAAGACCATAAGGGAGCGACGAAAGACTCGCTTTTAATCTACACGCTACAAATTTTAGAATATACACACAATAAATTAACTAAACATATACTTAAGACTTACTTATAATTGATATTATTTATAGTTTTTAAATTGAATGTTTATGTGATATCTTAGTACTTTAATAAATAAAAACTCCATTTCTATTTAAATAAAAATTAGCTCCAAATTATTTATTTTTCAATTAAAGTGCTACAAGGTTGAATAAAAAACACTTTTATATAAAGTGTTTACAAGTCCATTCTTAATTTTAACATGTGTGACATCACTATGAGGTTGCAAAAAAACACTTATATAGAAGTTCTTCAAATTACACGCTTTAATTTAATTTGTAGTTTTGTGCCATGTTGTACAACTTGGAAACAAAATCAATGTCTCCCCAACCATCAATTAATTAATGTGACCAAAAAATAAAATAAATACAGTACCATAATTTTAAAGTATAGTTTTGTTATATCAGTTAAGCTGTAAAAATAACTTTATTTCTTAAAAAAAGCCTCCGAAAATGGCGACGGTTAAAAAAATAACAAAATTTGTTTAAAAAAATAAAAATTATACTGTATATTGAAGCCACACAGCAAGAATAGCAATAGCAATATAGCATTCTATAAAAGAAATTAAATTTTCACGTTTGAAAAGATCAAAAGTATCTAATTTGATTTTTTATTAATATACGTGATCATTAATAAAATAAATGATTAATTGAATTATTTTATTTTTATTTTTATTTTTTTTCTTTACGTGTCTTGAGTCTCTGAGATCATCCTCCTGTTCAACCACAACCACCATTTATTTTCCTACAACAATGCCTTCAATTTCGTCTCTCGGCGCCAATCCTTAGCCCATTACTTTAATCTACGCACCCCCGGCTCACGTTATGGAAACCCCTTCTTTTGTCTCCAAAGCCAGGACCGCCTTCCACTCTGCTGCGGCAAAAGCGGAGCGCGTCTTCACTGATTTCAAATCTGACCGAGGTACCCCCGATTTTCTTTCCTATTTCCATTTTTAGCCCTCCCCCACCCGCTTTAATACGAGTTTTGTTTGATTCTTTTTCAAAAAATTTCTTGGTGTTTTTGACTTGATCGGAGAAGATTATGATAAAACATCCCCCAGTTTACAAGACGAAAGCCAGTCAAAGGTACGTGCGAAGAAACGTGCATTTAGTTGTTTGTTTATTGAATTTTATTTTGTGATTTTATTTTTCTGTCTGTTTGGTGCTGGGAATAGAATAGAATAGAAAAGAAAAGAAAAGAAAAGGAAAGGATATTGAATTGTAGTTTTTTCTATTTGGAGAAAAGATAAAGAGATGGCTTTCTTTCGTTAAGTGTTTGTGCGAGACTTGTTAAAGGTTTTTTCTTTTTCAAGAAAAAATCCAATTTTAGGCTTATGCAATGTGCATTTTGTGCTGTTTCTTGCATTTTCGTGGAATCCAAACAGCACGGAATTGAATTCTCAATCTTATTAAAAGAATCTTTAAGAAAGAGTACCGGACTTTCTATAGAAAAAACAGGTTATTTTAGGCTGTGTTTTTGGATTATAGTTGACCTTCAATGGCGTGATACAGGATCACAATGAGGCCAAGCATTCAAATACGCGGTGGAGGCCTGCTCCTCTAGGGATAAAACAAGATTGGCAAGATAGGATACGGAACATAAGAATAGGAAGAAGAGGAGCTGAAGAACCTGAGAAAGTTGATAACACAACAATGGCAGCTCCATTTTATGATGAAAATTTGTACATACTTAACATGAAAAATGATGTTGAAGCAAAGGCAAGACAAATTTAACATATTTTAAGTCCTTATGATTTGTTTATTTCTTTTGCTCCTTTGATTGATAGATGAGGTGGTTCTTGTTGTTTTTACAGGGTTCAGATGTGAATTCCTTGCTAGAACGTTTAAATTCCACCGAGTTAAATAGCATTCTTCCGGCATCTGTCCTGAAGCAATTAGCTGTAGCTGTTGAGTGAGTATTTGAGCTACTCCTTATGTCTTACATATATTATCTTCTGTTGGGTTGTTGAATATTTTCACTTATGTTGTAAAACATGCCCTCTTCTCATGAAATGATTTGTTTTTCCCTCTTACTGGGATTTACTATTTTTCGGTTCATTGATGGATGATTTGTGAATTGTGATAACTGTCAAGTATCTTCTCATAAATGCCAATGATGTATCATCTTGTAGAAGAATGACTGTTATAACTTCTGAGCACTTGATAAGTGGTCAGAGAGTAATCATCATTTTCAGCATTTTATGGTGCTCACAGTATGATTTTGTGACTGCTTGTCCAGGAGTGGAAAGAAGTTTAGGTCAATAAAGGATTTTTTGGCATCATCTGGAAGTTCTTCACCTATCCTGGAAAGGGCGGGTTTGAGTCTCTCTGCGGTCAAGTCATTAGTTCTTCGTGACAAAGATGATAAACTTGCTTCTGACTTCGGCAAGGATGAGAAAGTGATGTCGCTGATTCAGTCACTATTCGATGCAGGTAGATTAATACATTAACCTTGATATTTTCATACTTTGGGGAGAAGTTTTCTACTATAAGTCTTTTGCATTATCCTGTGATGATCTTTCACTTCCATTGTAATATCTGCAAGATGTTCGCAGAGGGAAACTTTCTCAGAAGGAAGATTTGTTCTGATTCGGAGGCATCTATTACCTTGGCAACTTTGCACAGAGATATTCATGGTGCTCCTCCAGAAAGCTTTGTCGTTAAGCTATCTGAAGTTATTGGAAGCTTGAAAACCCTGCGAAGAATGGCGTTCTTCTGGTGCAAAGTAGTTTCTGAAGTAAGTGCCTTGTACAGAGCTCTAATAGTTACGTTGTTAGTGTTGCTTCCGTTTTTGGCTTTTGGCTAACAAACTAAATCTGAAAATTTTACACTTGCAGCTAAGAAGACTTTGGTCCGAAGAGCAATATATTCCTGGCGTCCCCGTGGATGAGATACCAGATTTAGACTCCTGCCTTTTGTACCAACAATTGCAGGTTATCAATTGTTGTCTTTCGAGGAAAAGGCGTCACATTATTGCTACTGAATCATTAGATTCCGTGATGAGGCAAAGCAGTTCAAATGTTGAGGGTTCATCTCTTTCTATGGGTACGTCTCCTGCAAGCTCTGTTTTGTATGCTAGAATAAGCAATGGAGAACTTGTTCTACGACTAGGTGCTGATCGTCCAACAGATTTAACAATGTTGGAAACTGGTGAACCTGTATACTTCCCCATCACTCAGGTTTGTTTCACAACTAGTACTAAAATGGTACCTCTTAAGACCTAATTACATTGTTTTGATGTATGCCTCTCTTTACATATATAGGAAGGGCCTTTGCTTACAGAAGATCTTATTAAGGAAACAGAGGAGTTAGTGCTTCGAACAGGGAGGTCAGTGTGAATGTTGAGTAACTTTAGTTTGACCTGTCAATTATATTTGGATTTTAAAGTATACTCCTCAATTATTTAAGGTTTTAAGTAAATAAATTTAGGGTTTATTAATTTTTTTTTTTTTTTTTGGGTCCTATTATATTTATTAATGTGCTACTTTTTGTGGGCAGTGTTGGTGCTGGATGTTCTCAGCTCCTCTCTGACATGCAGGCTTTCAAGGTGATGCATTAATTCGAAGTTTGCATATTTTATAGATTGTCAAGGTCCTTATGATACTTCTATAATACTCCCTACATGCATTGTTCCTTACGGTTATGTTTGATTGTGTTAGGCTGCAAATCCGGGTTGCATTTTAGAAGATTTTGTTAGATGGCACTCTCCCCCTGATTGGACTGCTAGTGAGCAGAGTAATGAAGATGACTTTGATGGAAGTGATTTTTTATCTGCAAAAGGTCAACTAAGTCGTCGAATGAAAAAAGAAGGTATCCCCTTTTGTCCCTTAGTGCACTGCTAGATAGATTATGCAGCGTTGTAGTTTTTCTGTAGTTGGTATTTTAAGATAAGGGAAGAGAAGATGTTCTGTTATATCCTGGTTAACTTGGTGCATGAAGATGAATTTCATCTGGTTTACCACCTGTCGTGTTCAATGCACAGGATTTATTAAGTTGTAAAGTGAAGCCTGGTGCTATTTGTTCTATCATATATGAAGACTTGTTATGCACTTTTAATTTTTAAACATATTGTAGAATCACTCTGATACATGATTGGGCATTAATGTTAGGTAATTTGTGGATTGAACTTTGGGAAACGGCTAAGCCTGTGCCAGCTGTTAAGCAAGTCCCTCTCTTTGATGAGGATTTAGCAGTGTAAGTCTGGAAGTATTGCAATTGATTTTCTTACTGTTAAAATTTTCGTTTTGGTAGTATGATTTTCTGACAAGAACAGCATGGTTTGTCGATTCTGTAGGGAAGGTATTCTTAATGGCTTAGAGGACATCCCACCGGCTGAGCTTTTTGAACAATTTTTTGTTTCTTTAGTAAGTTACTTAACTATAAAAGAAGAGTCATTCCATTGTTTCTTCTCCATGTAATGTGTTATGGCCGGAAAAATTGTTATTTGGTTATTCTTTGTGCACAGATTGCCAACTATGAGTCAATTATCGATCTTTCAAGGTACTAATGTTGTCTTTTGTTCTGAAAATTTTAGCTCGGTTTGGGATTTGTAATCGCTGAGGCCAGACTCTCCACTGACGATAATTTGTCAAAGCTTGTTCACGAGTGCAAAGACTATGTTGTTGCCTCTTGTCAAGGAAGCTCCTGGAGTGAGAAGATTGATGATATTTGCCAGGTACAATCTGTCATACTACGACTGAATGATCGCTTTAAGTAAATTTATGTATATAGTTTGCAATCGGATAACAGAATAGCTGTTTTGTTTACCATTTTATTGAAAAAATTCCTCTTACATGCATGGCATACTTACTACCAAGATCTGCGCCCAATTTTAATAAGGTAGACTTGAAAAAGGGTATGAATCAAGCTAAATTTTATGTTGAATTATGTTCTAGGTTTATGAAACAGTGGAGACAATGTTAACTCATCCCGAGGAAGTCCCGATGAATCAGGCAGAAGCAACGACCCCAAATGCAGATGAACCGAAGAGTCGATTTAAGAGACTCACTCTCAACTTTGTCAAGGATAGACAACAGAGAAAACTTGCCATAAAAGATCTGAAGAATTCAGATGAGAGTCCGGCTCCATTGCGTCAACCATTCGCGAATTTCTTTGATGGCAAGTCTTCATTATTCTCCAAGAAGCCTCCAAAGCCAGATTGTCCATGTCCATCCCCAGCTCCTGAGAAACCTCCTTGCCCAGTTGAAACCGATTGGACAATTGTTTAATTATACCTTTTTATTATTTTTTTGATCTCTTGGGTTAAAGGAGTATGTATGGTTTTTGCAAGTAACTGTAAATTATCCGAACTGTAAATTATCTTGAAATGACCAGAATAGGATGCCGTATGCACAGCATTGAATTTTATTTCTGTATTGAAATCCAAAAGGAAGGAATGAAGAAATGAAAATGGCCTAAATTTTCTCATGAATTATTGAGTTTTGTTTTTCAGTCACAGGATACTGTTTGTTAGACTTTTGGACTTGAATCTTCTTTTTCCTCGTCGAGTTCTAAAGATTTGGAGATGATACTGGGTACGAGAAAATTTGCAATCAAATACACCAAGAGCATCACAGCACTGTAATTTATAAGAAAGTGAGAATCGAGGGGTCGAATTGAACGTTAAAGAGGAGATGTGGCAATGAAATGAAAGAATGAAAGAGACGAACCTGGTTTGGAGGAAAACCGATATGTCACCGGACTTAGGTGGAGAAGTGGCCGCAAGAACCAGTGTGTAATGTGAATCAGTGACGGCGAAGGCCCTTAGCGAAGGGAATTTTCGAATAAGTCTTGAGGGTTTTTCACTGCTGGAGAGACGAAGCGGTTCATTATTGTTGGTGTGCAACATTTTATGCTTGTGATTGAGGTGTGAATTTACAGAATCAAGAGAAGGGTAGCCATGGATGCAAGTCAAGGAGATAGCCATGGCCGTAACGAGAGAGTGGATAACGTTGTATGAGAGCTGGATATTTGTTCTTCATACTTAAAGTTAATTTGATGTTACACGGTTACGTGCCACCAAAGTGTGTGAGGACACGCGTTGAAATTGGAAGTTTATATAAGGAGATAGTTAAATCTTGCCAACCATTATATTAATTTGAGGCTTAAATTAAATGCATGTGACACAATGAGCTGTTTGGATTATACACCAAAATAAAAATGCAGATCGGTGGTTGATTTCTTCTTAGATGGGAGTGGACTGGCCATTTATTCAGTTAGAAAAGCAACTTGTGTCCAAGTGCTTTTCACATAATCAAATCGATATCGGCTTCCTATTAATTGTTCATGCTCGGTTTGGTCGAAGGGAAATTAAGCTCAACTTTAACTTTTTTTTTTTTTTTTTTTTTGATAATCGGGGATGTCAGCTTACGTATCTCAATTAATCTTTCGGGACCCTATAATTACTGATCGGATAAAAATCCTAATAACTACTCCTATTAGCAGTTAAGGAATGACTCAAACTTAAAATATTTTAAATACATAATACATCTAATAGTCTTTATCGAAATACTCAACCACATTTAACTTGAAACTAGCTTTCATTGGTCAAATAATTTGATAAGGTACTGATAAGCGTGGTAACTTAAAGAAATAAAATAGGGTTATTATCCCAGACCTCCCTTGAGGTTTGAAGTTTTATTAGTGACACCCGATAAGTATAAAATAGTATTCCTCACCTTCCCTCACATTTCACAAATTATCCCAAATTTCCCCTTTTCATCGTTAGATAATAGAATTCCTTAACGAAAGACATTTTTTAATCTGAAAACATCTTTTAAATTTTATACCAAACGCATTTTTAAATATTAAAATACAACTAAAAAATTTGAATATTATAAGTTTTTGAAAATTATTTTTGAATCAGAAATCAAAACAGGTCTTAACTTTTCTAGTTATCTTTAAAAACTCCTAAACATGGGTTTTCATTATGTCAATGATGTTTTCGGCTTCATTTGGTTCGTTTTTAGGAATACTATTATTAGTATTCCCAAAAAAGTTAAACAGTAAAATATCATTATTCCCAAAATATTATTCTACATTTTTCAATTTCTTTTAAACCTCCTAAATTTGTTAATTTAACTAAACACCCCGAAACATTTTTTTTAGAAATTGCAAAAATACTTCGGCCACCCTCCGGCGGTGGTGGCCGGCTGTCCGTATTTAATGGGTGGGTTGGGGTGTTTTTGTTAACTTTTAATATTTTATTATAGGGGTGTTTAGTAAATAAACAAACATAGGGGATTTTTTGTTAATTTCCAAATCCTATATCGTAATACCCGTCCAGTTTAACTTTTTTCAAAAGATTATTCTAAAAACTATCAGAATAATGAACCAAACTGAGCCTTCGTTAATGTTAAAGGACACTTTTGATAATGTTAAAAACGTTTTTTTAACCATGTTTAAGGGGTTTTGTAATAAACGCCAATAGAAGGTTTTTGATAATGCGAAAAGTTTTTATAATGCCAAGGAGATTTATGATAATGTCAAGGAGATTATTTATATTGTTAAGACCAGGGGCGTAGGCGTAGGCGCGTAGATAGGATTTTAAGTTAGTGGGTTCAAAACATAAGAGTTACAATAAAATATATACTGGAGTAATAAGCATAAAAAATATACTTTTAAAAGTTATATATACCGAATTATCAATTCTATAATTGTTCTCGATGATTTTTCATATTCTGAAAATGTTACATATTTGCTTCATTGACAATTCCATCAAATATCTCTCTCTTAATATATGTAATAAGACAATCATTTAACAATTGATATCTCATTCGATTCCGTAGTCGATTTTTCACAATTTTCATCGCAGAAAATGCTCTTTCAACACTTGCAGTTGCAACAGGTAATATCAATGCTAATTTCATGTCTAAAAAGATAACAACATAAACAAAAACACCCTTTTTTTTTACACTATACTCCAACTAATTTGTATATTCTCTAAATCAAACGAGATTAAAACGACACATTAAATTCCCAATTGCTTGCTTTTTAAAATTATGATTGTGTGGTTGGCAAGGTCCTTTTTGCAAGTATGTCTTTCTCATTTTGTTTCTATCATTAAGATGATATTTTAAAATTTTAATTATCTATCCAAGATCTGCAAGAAGACTGTTCAAGTTAAACTTAACATATATTTGTCTTGAACTAGATTTCATAGGCTCATTGTGAATACTATCGTGACGTCTTATTTTGTTCACTTGATGGTTCCTCATTAGAAAACTTTCATTTGATAAAAAACTTGTCCATAACTAAAAAAAAATAAAAGAATTTTTATTATCAGAAATATAATTTATTTGCAATTACAATTAAAAAGCAATAAAAATTTATCAAAATTCAACTCATTTTTCAAACAATTTCTACTAACCCAATAAAATTCAACTCATAAACTCATAAAAACTCATCAAGTCAAACTCTAAATATCAAAAAATTAACTAATATATCAAAATTAAACCAAATCCCCAAATCTCTACAACTTAGGGTTTCCTCAATTCTTTAAACTATATTCAAAATTAACTCAATAACTAACCACAATTTATCAAACCCAACTTAAAACAGCAATTAATTAACTCATACCTCAACATAAACAATATTAAATCAAAACTCATATCAAAATCTATGAATTATTTCAAACTTATTTATTAAACTCAACAAAAACCCGTAACTCACGATCTTTCATCAATTAAGAAAGCTAAAAGAAAAGAATTAATTTTAAGTAAAAAAATAAAAATAAAATTAGTATCATCTTACCTTGTAATCCAAAGGAGTAGCCTTTTTTGAGTATCCAATCAAAAGAAAAATATAATAAGAGAACCAAAAAAAGGAAATAAAGAAAAAGAAAAGTTTAAAAAGTATTAATTAATAATTTATTTTGTAGGTCAACATAAAATTAAATAAGATTAAAATTATAAAATCTGTAAACTATTAATATTTTTTTTAAATTTTTGTAAAGCCTAATGATTTCAATTGAACCATAAGGCACGAAGTGCCAGGTTAAGGCGTATGATAATCATACTTAAGGGGTTTTCTATTACGTTAATGGGAGGTTTTTGATAATTTCGAGAGTTTTGATAATGTCAATGGGAGGTTTTTTATCCATGTTTAAGGGGTTTTCTAGTAACGTCCATGGAATTTTCATAATAATGTCAAGGGGTATTTTTGACAATGACAATTAAGTTTATTTTTATAATGTCAATGAGTATTTTTGATAATGACAAGTTTGTTTTGTTTTGTTTTTAATAGTGTTAAGGATATTTTTGATAGTGTAAAGAGGAGTTTAAAGACTTTTTTGTACTAAAGTAACGGTTTGAAGACATTTTTCTATTTTTAAAATATTATTTTATTACTTAAATTTATATTCCAATATCAAACATTAAATAAACTCAGTTCATATTATTGAGATTTTTGAATAAGAGAGATAAATAAGTTTTTTGGTTATAAAATATTGGATTTTAATAATTGTGATTGATTGAAATTTGATTGGGAAAAAGTATTTATATAAATCTTAATTGTTCGATTATCAATAATTGATAGGATCAACAAGAATAAAATTTAAGAGATTTTAGTAAATGGTAATCAAGAAAGATAATAATAATAGTGTGAAACCACGACGATATAACGGAAAAAGTTTTACTAGTGTGAAGAGGGCTTTTGATAATCTCAACTGAAACTCAAAGATATCTCCGTGTCAGGAGTTCTATTATACTGAACCCAATTAACAGGATCGAAACTCATAAGTCAAACTTGCATTTATATACATGCCTTTATGTCGAACCCCCATCCATATGCTTCAAATTTTACATTTAATTAGATGAACTGCATCTCCGTCAAAGTCAAATTTATTTATTACTGGACCTATATCTCTTCATATTAAAGTTCCATTTGCTTATTAATTACCAATTAATTAATCCATTTAAGCAATAATCAATTTTTGAAACCTAATTAACAAGCTTTAGAAAAACCACAGTCAAGCACACCAAAAAAGCAAGCTGAAATCAATAACTCCCATCAAAATTCTTTTTCTTTTTCTTTTCTTAATTTCTTTATAAAGTTATTTTCCCACACAATAATGGTTTAATGATATTTTTTTACTCACATATTTTTAAAATACTACTTTATTACTCAAATTTATATTCTAATAGTAAACAGAGAGCAAACCTTGTTTATACTGTTACAGTTTTTGAAGAGAAAGATCGATGAGTCTTTTGATGGAAAAAGGTTAAATTTTGGTGATTGAGATTGATTAGAATTTGACTTGGAATGAGTGATTATGTAAACCCTAATCACTTGATTGCTATCGATTAACAAGATCGATAAGAGTAGGATTTGAGAGGTTTTAAATCTTTGATTAGTAATGATTGAAAAAAAGAATACTAAAGATATGGAGTTGTAATGATGGAATGGTATCATTATTAAACCATTATTTGGGATGTATTAATTCCAGTATTCTCTAATGCCATGTGCCTTAATTTAATACGTTGTCGGGTTTCCATTTTGTGGCTAGTCTTTGTCCAGATGCCTGCCTGCAAATGGAAGATGCTGATCAGTAGACTTTTGTGTGCGCCGAACAATTATATAAGAACATCCATTCTTACTTTAAAATAAAGTTTCAAAATTTCCAAACCAGTAGGCTCACTGACCACCGTCAACTATGTATTACACTTAGCATCATATCCATTTTATTACCGTATCTCATTGCACCAGACATAACATATATTTTATAAACTCATACAAAAGATGTTACCATAATATAGTTAGTGTTATATTAATACATTAGATAAATTAATAGACCAAAAAATATGTAAATTTTGTAACAACACTTATACAGTGTTATATAATAGCAAAATCTCACACCATATTCATAAACCATCACATTTACTCACCATTGTCTTTTTTTTTTAATCAACGAAGTGTTCGGACCAGATAATACACTCAACTGATATTGAGTCTAGATACGAACCGCTAAGGTAAAAACTTCTGTCCCTATTAAT